TGTTTAGCCTGGCTGCGGGTGACCATTCCCACCCTCTTGGCCTGCTTCACATGATTGGCCAAGTCTTCCCCCAACAGCATGGGGATGGGATAATCATCATAGACTGCAAAAGTCCACATTCCTGACCAGCCCTTGTACTGGACAGGCAACTTGGCTGTAGGCAAATTGAAAGAGTTGGACTTGAAGGGTTGAATCGTCACTTGGATCTCTGAGTTGATTAAATTGGGGTCCACTAAGGAAGCATGGATAGCTGACACTTGTGCTCCGGTGTCCCTCCACGCGGTGACCTTCTTCCCGCCCACACTCACAGTTTCCCTCCGCTCCAAGGGTATCTGGGAGGTATCTGGGCCTGTGGACCTCTGGTGTGATTCCGGTGCAATGAACTGTAATCTGTTGGGGTTCTTGGGGCAGTTGGCCTTTACATGCCCCAGCTCGTTACACTTAAAACATCGTCCAGCTGACGGGTCACTGGGGCGAGGAGGGTTGCTGGAGAACGGGGTGGTGGGACGATAAGGGGTCTGGAGGGTTCTTTGGGAGGTAGGTGGGGCTTTGGGCGGCCCCCGGTAATGGGGTGTGGTCTGGGGTGGTCCCTTCTGGTCTCCGCTCCAACTGCGACCAGTTTTCTTCTTCTCTGCCACCTCCACCCATCTGGCTCCAATCTCTCCTGCCTCAATTACAGTTTTGGGTTTCCCATCTAGGATGTATCTATTTCCTCAGGAACACCCTCTAAGAATTGTTCCATTTGCATTAGGAAGGGTAAATTTACTGGAGATTCAACACTTGCTCCTGATATCCAGGCATCCCAATGTTTCACAATGTGGTAGGCATGTCGGGTAAATGACCTGTCTGGTTTCCACCTTAGGGCTCTGAACCTCCGACGAGACTGCTCGGGTGTTATCCCCATTCTGACTCTCGCCTTGGATTTAAACAGTTCATACTTGTTCATGTGTTCTTTAGGCATTTCAGCTGCCACCTCAGCTAAGGGTCCACTGAGCTGCGGCCTCAGCTCTACCATGTATTGGTCAGTAGAGACGTTGTACCCAAGGCAGGCCCTTTCGAAGTTCTCTAAGAAGGCCTCAGTATCACCACCTGCCTTGTAGGTGGGGAACTTTCTGGGATGGGAAGTGGTACCTGGAGAAGGATTGCTAGGGTTTGTTGGTATATTCTGCTGGGCCTTTATCCTCTCCATCTCCTCCACATGCTTCCTCTCTTTTTCCTTCTCCTCCTCCACTTGCTTCCTTGCCTCCATTTCCCTCTTGTGGGCAGCCTCTTGGTGTTGTTCTGCCTCCCTTTCTTGTTCCTTCTTCAGCTGCATGAGTTCTATCTGTCTTTCATGTTCCCTTTGTCTTTCCTCAGCCTGAAATTTGGCTAATTCCAGCTGTAGTCGAGCTGAGGATTTGGTCATTCTAACCTCTCTGTTTTTAACTAACTTTACACCCGAGGTTTAGAAATAAACAAACAAAACTTGGCTGTAAAATTTTGCTGTGCTGGAATAGAATACCTATTCTCTGATAGTGACTGTCAGCCTACAGAAAAAAACAATTCCCTTGTCTCTGCTCTGGGCCCAAATTAAAGCAAAAAACCTCCAACTACTTGGAAACCTGCTTACCCAGCCCAAAGAAAAAGCAAATGGGTAGAACACACACCCCCTATTTACTTTTAGGAAGAAAAGAAAAAAAAAACCTCTGGTTTGGAAGACTGTGAAGTTCCCTGCAGGAGTTAAGTACCCTGCCTCCAGGCAAAGAAAACCTGCAATTCACAAGATAATCCCCTTTTGTCTCTGCTTGGCCACAAAGCAGAGAGAAACCAAGCTGCTTTCAGTTTCAAAGCTGCTTTCTGGACTTCCTAAAAATTCCTTTTTAAAATCTGTATTTCTAGTTCAAAAAATCTCAACTGGATCTCAAAATGATTTCAGGTTAATCCCACCACTGTGCCACCATGTCAAGGTTCCTCCCCCACTCTGAACTCTAGGGTACAGATGTGGGGACCTGCATGAAAAACCTCCTAAGCTTATCTTTACCAGCTTAGGTCAAAACTTCCCCAAGGTACAAAATATTACACCCGTTATCCTTGGAATGGCCGCTACCACCACCAAACTAATACTGGTTACTGGGGAAGAGCTGTTTGGACGCGTCTTTCCCCCCAAAATACTTCCCAAAACCTTGCACCCCACTTCCTGGACAAGGTTTGGTAAAAAGCCTCACCAATTTGCCTAGGTGACTACAGACCCAGACCCTTGGATCTTAAGAACAATGAACAATCCTCCCAACACTTGCACCCCCCCTTTCCTGGGAAATGTTGGATAAAAAGCCTCACCAATTTTCATAGGTGACCACAGACCCAAACCCTTGGATCTGAGAACAATGAAAAAGCATTCAGTTTTTACAAGAAGACTTTTAATAAAAAATAGAAGTAATTAGAAATAAAGAAATCCCCCCTGTAAAATCAGGATGGTAGATATCTTACAGGGTAATTAGATTCAAAAACATAGAGAACCCCTCTAGGCAAAACCTTAAGTTACAAAAAAGATACACAGACAGAAATAGTTATTCTATTCAGCACAATTCTTTTCTCAGCCATTTAAAGAAATCATAATCTAACACATACCTAGCTAGATTACTTACTAAAAGTTCTAAGACTCCATTCCTGTTCTGTCCCTGGCAAGAGCAGCACACAGAGAGAGACAGACTCTTTGTTCCTCTCCCTCCTCCCAGCTTTTGAAAGTATCTTGTCTCCTCATTGGTCATTTTGGTCAGGTGCCAGCGAGGTTACCTTTAGCTTCTTAACCCTTTACAGGTGAGAGGAGCTTTCCCCTGGCCAGGAGGGATTTCAAAGGGGTTTACCCTTCCCTTTATATTTATGACATAGGTTCTGTTCCAGTCTCTGCCACTGATTCGGGAGGAAAAATTAGCAATTTTTGCATAGCTTGTAACTTACAGTGTAGTCACTTGAAAGTATGGAGGGAACTGGACTCCCTGTTTTCTTGTCCCTTCAAATTATGGGGAACGTGAAAATAAAAATCACCAGACCAACTCACAGATGGTGCCTTAGATTTACTCTCTGTGAGGAACTACTCCTCATGGTAACTTTTCAAGTTTTTATTGCTTCATCTGCAATTAGAAGATTGTCTCTGCTCTGCTTAGATTCAAATAGACTCTTGAATTATTATTTACAAAAAAAGTTTCAGAAATTTTCAAAGGGACCCATTCCCCATGGGAATTTGCTTTTCAGAAGGACTGAAAACAAAGTGGCAGCTAGAATTTTATGACTTCCTGCAAAATTCTGCAGCTGGTCTAGCAAGGCCAAGGTTTTTGTTTCAAGTGATGGCACTGTCTGTTTATTATCTTAATACTTTAGCTGTACCCTTCAGTTGTTATTCATCTATACTTCAGCAACCTGATTTGTTAATCAATGTTCTATTAATTGATTTAACTTCTACAAATTAATTCTGTGGTGAATACAGGAGAATGCACTACCTTCCACTCCTGTTGACTTCACTCTGTACTTTTCAGACTTCAAATTTTAAATTTGAGGTATTCCCACATTCAAACATCATGTGACTTCCTAGGATGAATTGAACTCTTGGCAAATTTTGCATTCTGGGGCTATTTCTGAGTGAAATCTAGGAGAGAAATGTGTTTAAAACCTCCTATGGGATTGCAAATAAGAATCTGTGGGAGGGAGCGATGCTTTGCGCTCCAGAGAGCAAGGTTTCCTTGGAAACAGTAGGTCAAATGCATCAGACAATGAGGCTGGGTGTGGGGCAATTATCTTGCTGATGTTCATGAAAAGATTAAGATAATGGCCTCTTGTTTTTTGGGGGGTGGCTGCAAGAAAACAAATCCCCAATTGCCTTTTTTTTTGGTTCAACAGCATCAAGACAGAGATAGTTGAAGGTCATTTTTTCTTTCGTATCAGCTTTTGGTAAGACAGATAAGCAATACGCTGTGCAGAACTCTTTAACAATGCCTTCCAGTAACAGCGTATTGAAGTAAATGGAATACATTTACCTCAGCAAAGCTTAGTGGCAAATTCTGAGATCTATCTTTCTTTCCAGCAACTGCATGAAGCAATTGAAACATTCACCAGGATGTTTCTCAATAGGTAGCAAAAAATACTGAAGAAAAATATCTTCCAGCTCAAAGTGTCTATGAGTCATGTAACTTCAATCCAGTAAGATTTGCTTGTATTTAAAAAATGAGAAGGAATTAAATGGAAAATATAGACAGTACAGTATTTTCTGAAATTAGGTGACCAAAATATGTGATAAATCCAAAAACAGATATGTTTGAGAGAATGGCAATTAAAATGATAGAAACTTTATATCAGGAGAGATTGAAAAGATTGATGATCATGTCCTTTAAAGAGGCAAACAGTAAGAGGAGAAGAGAAAGCTGTACAAAAAATAATACATGCTACAGAGAAGGCCAATCCACCCCAAGTTACCATACAAGAACAAGATTGCATGCAAAATTAAGAAAGTCAATATATTCAAAACAGATACAGGACATTTTCTTTCAATGTACAATTCATCTTTGGGACGAACTGCCAAAGGATATCATTAAGGCAAATGATATAGACCCAAATCATTCCTTACCCCAGTGAAATCTGGGGGCAGGAGAAAATACATTCACTTGAGGATCCCCTTGTGGGGATCTTCTCCCTCAAACTGTTCCTTATGCTAATTTAAACAAAATTTAAAAAATCCAGTTTAAAAAAAAAAAAATCAATCCTCCCCCCCAACACCAATTTTTATCCCCCCACCGGCAAACTGCATGAATAATACTCTAAGTCCACTACAAAACCAACACACCACATTATCATGAGTCCTACACCAAGCTTAATTTATTTCCCTGGCGGGTATTAGAACCCCTCATTGTTCAAATGTATACCAGAAGGCTAGTTTCATACTATAACTACCAAATGATGTCCTATTTATCCATTAAAAAAGAAAAGTAACATAAAATATAACAATGAATATTACAATAATGTTCACTTACACTGGATGGTTTGCAAGTGCAACTTAAATCTTTAGGGTCTGAAATACAACAAAACACCAGTTAATCAAACATAAGGAATCATTCTTCTAAAACCCTGTGGATATTAAAGCCTGGTCTACACTTAGAAAAGTTGCTATAATGGTATAACTATGCCTGATAGGGGTATGATTTTTTTACTGATGCACTTATACCCAGTATAAGCCTTAGCATAGATGCAGTATACTGGTATACAGATGCCTTATATTGATATAGTTTATTTTGCTCCCTGAGCCAGCATAAGCTACTTTTGTATAAGCACTTCTATACTGATATAATTGCCTCCACGCTGTATGCAGGTGCACATGCGTGTATTCTTGCTGCTTTAAATCATAATTAAAGCAATAAAATTTTCTGGTATCGTCTAGCCCCAAATGAAAAAAAAATACCCCTATCCATTTTGACCTACAGATACAATATTTGTTTCTTTTCTTTAATATTCAGCCCACAGACAAAGAGTACAGTTAAGTCATTTTCAGTCAGACACAATGCATATGAAGTCAAGTGAAGATGTCATATGTTATCAGACTAGGAATACCCCAATTCCCCCATCCATACGTGGAGTCTGACTCCTTGCCTCACAAGTAGGCTCACTGAAGTCAAGTGAAGATACAGATCGAGAGGATATGATTTGGGGTGAAGTAGGACAAATACATTCTGGTAGGGTATATCATACCTTTGCTGCTTTAAGATCATGTTGCTGCAATCACTCCACGTGATGCTCTACCTTAAGACCACTCAAACAAGAACTAGTGCAGGATGCCATGGCCAGCTTAAGTAGAGGTCCTGATCAGAAGCACATTACACCTGTACTCCATGATTTGTACTAGTTCCCAGTAAATTTCAGAGTGGAATTCAAGGACTTAGTGTTAACCTGTAAAGCTCTAAATGGGTTAAAAACCATTTACCCGAGAGCTTGCCTTTCTCCCCAGGCCAGAGTTGTGATCAGTGGAGACCCTTGAGCTATAAATGAGAGTGCGGGGGTCAGACTAGGACTTTGCAAATGCCCCCTCAGGATGTCAGATCTTGGCCTTCTGAACATGCTGAAAAGCCTATCTTTTTTCCATGTAGATTCTGGGAAAGACGTGACCCGAGTGCCTGGTGGATATTTGTTTAGGTACGAGCAGACCTTTATAGGTATTTTGCATTGTGTATTTTAATTTGTGTAATGGGGGTTCCCAGCATAGGATGGACAGCTACAGTTTTGTATAAATAAGAATAAAAATAAGGAAATATATACTTACGTTCAACGAGAAACAGAAAACAAACGGTTCCCAGGCAAGCAATTATAACACCAGGAACCACAAAAGACAGACCCCAGCAGGTAGATACCCAGTAACCAGCAATTAAGGATCCTAAGATATTCCCTACGGAAGTGTGAGAATTCCAGATTCCCATGATCAAACCTCTCCTGCATTCAAAAGGATGCCAGTTTTAGTTATTCTGCTCATAAACATTATTAAGTAGCGTACAGAATGACAGACAGTAGTTAATCTTTGGCACTGTTGAAGTATTTGAGGCTTTATCACTCTATAACTGTACATAACCCTTTACACTACTGCCTTTAATCTGACCGTTTCAAAGTACCTAAACATTAATGAATGTATCCTAAAAGCTTCCTTGTGCAGGATATGGGTATTATTCAGAATCTGGCACGATTGGGACCTGCTAGCCTGATTAAGGCCATTGAAATATATGGAATGACTCCCATTAATTTCAGTGGATTTTGGATCAGGTCCTAAAGATGCACTTTTGCTACAGAAAAAGAAAGACGTGTTCTTAGTGTGAATCACCTATGTCTACACTAGAACCGTTACAGCAGCACAGCTGCAGCACTGTAGCGTAGGTACTTGCTACAGCGACAGAAGGGGTTTTTCTGTCATCAGGGCTGATGTAACCACTAGGCGAACTAGGCGGCCGCCTAGGGCGCCAAGATTTGGGGGCGCCAAAAAGCAGCGCCCCCCAATTTATTTTTACACTATTGCTGGAAAACGAATGAATAAAGAAAAGAGAAACACAGTTGAACTTGCATTTTAACCATTATGCAGTATTCATTTTTGAAAGTTTATGATGGGCGATGCTCCGGGGGGAAGGGAAAGCGCGGTGGCGCAAGGTGGAAGTTTCGCCTAGGGTGCAAAATATCCTTGCACCAGCCCCGTCTGTCATGGTAGTAAATCCGCCCCCTTGAGAGGTTGTAGCTAGGTCAATGGAAGAATTCAGCCTGGTCTACACTACAAAGTTAGGTTGATGTAAGGGTAGGCTGGGTCACAGAGGATCACTATTGGCATTTCAACATCACCAATGGTAATTTACAGGTCAGGAAAGTCAGTCCTTGCGTGAAGCTTTCTGAACAGTCCTGTATTCTTAAAGATGTGAGCAGCATCATGCACGTTCTGTGAACAGCCCACATTGAGGTTAATGAAGCATCCTCGGTGATCCACCAACGCTTGCAATAGCCACAGAAAAACGGTCCTTTCTGTTGATGTACTCTGTGGCAAGGTGGGGTGGTGCCAAAATGTGTGCCGCCTATTGCTCCACTGCAGCGTGGGAACCCCATTGCTGCAAATCCATCCACTGTGTCCTGCACGTTGCCAAGAGTACAGTCCTGCATAGCAGGAGGCAATTAAAGATCCTTCACACTAGCATGACAACGGCCCCCACAGTGGATATGCCAACTCCAACATGATTTCCCACTGAATAGTAGCAATCTGGCTTTGCATGTTTCCACAGTGTGATTGGCACTCGCTTCTCCCTTATCAGTGCAGCTCTCATTTTCCTGTCCTGGTGCAGGAGGGCTGGGGTGAGCTCAGCACACAGATCCATGGATGTGGCCTTGCACATCTGAAAATTCTGCAGCCGCTGCTCATCATCCCAAGCTTGCATTATAGGACATCATCCCACCAGTCAGTGTTCATTTCTTGGGCCCAGAAGCGGTCAAGCTACAGAACTGTAGTTGTGCTGTCGTAGGCACTTGTAGCAGAACATACCCTTACTGTTTATACTGTTCGTACAGTGGCACCTATAATAGGGACATCAGACCCTACGGTAGCATTAATGTGCATTATTTCTGTGCAACTGGCATTGGTGCCAATGGATTAACTGCGCAGCTACCCCAATGTTATGGAGAAACACTGTACGATGTTACAAAAGAACCGTAAAATATCCCCCACTGCAGGATTGAAAAAGTTGGCTTTGTAAAGAGTGAGCACTATGAAAGAGCAACAAATTTTGTTCATCCATCTGCCAAATATAATCTCTTTAAATTCATACTTTGAGTTGTATTATAAAAAAAGTAGTAAAAACAAATAAGCCTTATGGCACTTTTTGATGCATACCCTGATGATTTTTAAACAGAAGTGAAAGCAATGGGAAATTCCAGTTTAAAACCAATGGCACAATACAGCCCTTATTTTGTTTTTTAAAGTGTTTTTAGGCTGAGAACATTTGCCAGAGTTCCTCTCAATTTAACTCTGAAGTACTTTACTTATATGTCTGAGAGTTATTAATGAACACACACCAATACAGATGTTTGAAACTGCAAGCAAACATGTTTTGCACAGGGGGCGCGTGACTCTGGCATTTGGGGAGGCTGGGTGGGAGCACTAGAAGTTTCATAGAAGTGGGGGGGCTACTGGTGCATGAACCCTGGCCCCGCCCCCTGCTCCACCCCGCTGAGCCCCCTCCTCCAAAGCGCTCCCCCTCCGCTCCTCTCCACCCCCTCTCCTGATGGCCACTTCCCCTGCTCATTCCTCTCCTCCCCTTCCCCCAGAAGCCCCAGTCCTTCTCCTGAGCCCCCTCCAGCCCCCTGCTGCTCGTTTCTCTCTGCCCTTTTTGAACTATTTAGTTAAGTTAGTTGCCACAACATGGGCAGCGAGTATAAGAGACTTGGGGAGCTAAGTCTCCCCAAATGGGGCAAGAAATGTCAGCTGAGGCACACCTTATGGAGACCTGATGAGTGGAGTACTGCCACCAGAAGCTCCCAAGAAGTGAGGGGGAGCCACTGGTGCCCAGACCATGGCCCCGCCCGAACTCCATCTGTGCTCCACCTCGAAGCCCCGCCCTCACTTGGCCTCTTCCCCTGTGGCCCCACCCCCACCGCACCTCTTCCCCTGGAGACTCCGTCCTCACTCTGTCTCTTCCTGTCCTGCCCAGCTGCCGCTCACTCCTCTCTGCCCCCTCACTCCCGTCGCTCACCCTTAAGGCAGAAGAGGGCAGAAAGGAGTGAGCGGCTGGTGGGTGGGTGGATTGGCTCGATTCAGCTCGGTGGCAGAGATGAGTGTGTGGTACGGTTGCCAAATTTCTAATCACACAAAACTGAACTCCCTTGCTCCACCCCTGCCCCTGCCCCTTCCCTGAAGTCCCGCCCCTCTCACTCCATCCCCCCTCCCTCCGTCGCTTGTTCTCCCCCACCCTCCCTCACTTTCACTGGGCTGGGGCCAAGGGTTGGGGTGCAGGAGGGAGTGAGGGCTCTGGATGGGGGTGTGGGATCTGGGGTGGGGACAGAAATGAGGGGTTCAGGGTGAAAGAGGGGGCTCTAGGCTGGGGGAGGGGGTTGTGGTGCAGTAGGGGGTGAGGGCTCCAGCTGGGGGTGCAAGAGTGGGCTCCAGGCTGAGTGGCTCGGAGTGTGGGGGTGCGTGTGTGGGGTGCGGGTTCCAGCCGAGCAGCACTTATCTCAGATGGCTCCTGGAAGTGGCTGGCATGTCTGGCTCCTAGGCAGAGGGGCCACAGCACTCTGTGTGCTGCCAGCACCTGCAGGCATCACCCCTGCAGCTCCCATTGGCCACGGTTCCCAGCCAATGGGAGCTGCAGAGCCAGCACTTGGGGTGGGAGCAGTGCACGGAGCCCCCGTAGCCACCCCTGTGCCTAGGAGCCAGACATGCCTGCTGCTTCCGGGAGCTGCTCGGAGCCAGGACAAGCAGAGAGCCTGCCTTAGCCCGACTGTGCCGTCAACTGGACTTTTAGTGGCCTGGTCATCAGTGCTGATCGGAGCCACCAGGGTCCCTTTTAGAAAACCAGATGCCTGGCAACCCTAGCAGGCAGAGGTGGAAAGAGGTGGAGTAGGAGTGGGGCCTTGGATGGGGTGTAGAATATGGGCAGGGCCTCAGGGGGAGGAGGTTGCCAAGTGGGGGTGGGGCCTTGGGGTGGAGCAGGGCCACAGTACGGGCGCCGGTGGTCCCTCCCCCCACACTTCTAGGGAGCTCCTGGTGCTCCCACCCAGCCTCCCCAAACACAAGAGTCACACGCTGCCTATGCACGACAAACAGGTAATTACTTATTTTTAAAGGATCTTCCTTAAAGGCTTACCTCAAAAATCACCGAAACTAAATGGGAGTTCTTACACTGGCTTCATCAGGTTTTGCATTAGGGCCTAAAACCACCCACATATAGTCTCAGTACTTAATATTTATATTTTTACCTTCCTTTTCCAAACCAGTTGCCAATGCAGGTAACAACACTGGGCCAGCCAGTGGTTTGCACCAATCCATTAGCTATCTGAAATCATATTTCAAAAAACATTTTATGAATATGAAAATTCTTACACAAAATGTCATGTTAAGTGCTTCCTTAGAAGATCCTAAATTGCATAAAAACAAGCCTACATTATTATTAATATTAGATTAATATTTTTTTCCCAAACACCATTATTCAGCAAAAATAAAGTAAGACTTTGTATGTACAGCACTTTGTATCCAAGGATTTCAAAACTTTTTATAGGGCAAACCTCCACAAATTGTCATCTCAGGCTTGCCAAAGATCATACGGAATCTGACAGTGCTAAGGGCTCTTAACTCTCACTGCTATAACCACTTCATAATATTTTCACCTGAATATGAGTTTAGGGAAATGTATGGGTGCAAATAAATGCTAAAAAGACAAAGCCTTATGAAAGAATGTAGAACCTAGAATTTAAAAGGAATAAAAGAAAAGATTTGTCCCTTCAGTGTATACATTTCATATTTACTAAATTCAGACTGAGGTATGAAGTTCTTTAATAACCTGTTTAAGGCTGGGATTTTCGAAGGCTACTAAGGGAGTTAGGTACCTGACTGCCATCAATGGGGCACCTTACTGTCTTAGGCTCCCTCGAAGATTCCATCCTAAAATCCCAAATTACTAATCCCATGAGGATAACATAATAGTTCACATTTACAATATACATTTTTAAAAACAAAATAAAATGTAGTCAGGCAAACTGTTGTACTTTACCTATCAAACACAGCATTAATGACTCTGGGTGGGATTTCCAAAAGCATCTAGGGGTATGCCTGCACTTCAAGCTGGAGGCATAATTCCCAGCTCAAGGAGACATACCCAGGCTAGCTCTGATCAAGCTAACCAAGCTAGCATGCTAAAAATAAACAGTACCTGTTGCAGCTCAAGCAGCGGGAGGAACAAGACACCTCGATTACGTATGTGTCGGGGACCACAACTATGTACTCTAAGTGTAGCAGTGGTAGTGAGAGTGATGGGCGGGGCTAACTGCCTTGAGTTCGTGTCTTTGGTCTCAGACTGGTACCTACTTCAGGGCAGCTAGCCTCTTTTACAACTTGCCCTGCCACAGTTACAGTTAATTTTTAGCATGCTAGCTCTCATCAAGCTAGCATGGGTATGTCTCCTTGAGCTGAGAATTACATCTCCTGCTTGAAGTGCAAGCATACCCTAAATGATTTAGGAGCACAAGCCCATTGCCTTTCACTTAAGGCCTCATCTAAAGTCCATTGATGTCAATGCAAAGTCTTTCCATTGATTTCAATGGGCTTTGGATCAGACCCACAGGATTTCTGAGAATTCCGCTCCATGGGTTTCTGTTGCAACAGCTGGCGATATCTTGAACACTTTTCACCAGTGCAGGAAACTGCTCAGAGAAAGACAGTATCCTACACTCAAGTCTTAGCAGACAGGTAAAAGTAAATGCATTTGTTCTCAAAGGTATATTATTTCTCACTTTTAGGTTTACACATGTTAATGATCTGGGATTTTAAACAGTTCATGTTTTTTTTAAAAAAAAATTCATTTAAAACGTGTCTTTATTTTTAAAGCTATGGGAAGCACTCTCTTGTATTCCATTCTAGTTTGAATGCAGTTCAGTCTTGTATCTAGCCATGTAACCACTAAATGCTACTCACATCTGAAAACAAAAATAAATAAATGTGGAAAGCCAACGAACCTAGGGAAACAAACAGTATGCTTACCTGAGCTATCATGTAGAACCACAGGTTATGCATATTACAGAAATAGCCCAACCCAAACATTGCCGTGAAGAGTCCACTGGCAAGCATTCCAGCTGTTAGGTAATACCGGATAGGCAGTCGCTCTCCTATTATACCACTGAGAATGTACAGGGGTAAAGAAAAAAAAGCATTTAAAAGAAACATGAAACATTTCATACACCAAACTTTCATAGCGCATAAAGAGTATGTTTAAATTCTGGATCTATTAGGGTTCCCCCTCCAAGTTTCAACAGAAATTGTAACTAAAGATTGAGCAATTAAATAATAAATATTTGGTTCATTACATAACAAGTGCTGATATTGGAATCATAAATTGAATGGTTCTACTGTGGGCATAATGGGAATTACTTTCCATGTGATTCTTCATGTCGGGTGTATCTGCACAGCAGCGGGGAGGTGTAATTCCCAGCTCATGCAGATATACATGTGCTAGCCCTGCCTGAGCTAGTGCACTAAAAACAGAAGCACAGCCATGGCAGTGCAGGCTGTGTCTTGGGCTTGCTGCCAGAATACAATCCTATCCAAGATCCTAGCATGTACTCAGGTGGCTAACATATGCCATCACCCATACCACCACAGACACACTGCTGTTTTTAATCATGATAGCTTGAGTGTGTACGTCTACCAGATCTGGGAATTAAACCACTATTTAGACATATTCATTGATGTATATGGGCTAGACTGTCCCCTGTGATACATTCTGTTCAAGGGAGTAAGAATCTTTCCTATGAATTTCTATAAGGGTTTCAGGTTAGGCACGTTTTTCCACAGTGACTAACTCAGGGCTTGGCATGTGTGAGACAATCCAAGTTTCTCCTTCTTCAGTGATCATTCATCAGAAGCTTCCCAAAAGGGAAGGATAACAGATTAGAAGCAGGGCAGCCTTCTGAATCAATAATTCAAGATGTATGAAAAAAAGTCTAAAGGAATTACCTCAAATACATTCCAACTGCATAAGCACACAGAAATGAGTAATCCAGGGCTCCCAGTAATTGCTTGTAATTGTTCTTGTCTAAGAATACATTTTCAAAACAAATCAGTGGAATAAGTTTATCAATCGCTTTCAAACCCTTACTATATATTTCATGTACAGGTCTTGGAAATCTTTAAAAAACAAGAACCCCCACCCCTGAATAGGCATTTTTAGTTTTAAGTGAATTTTCTAGCGAGGGGGAAAAAAAAAAAAAAAAAAAAAGGAGAATGCCAGTTTCTTGACACTTTGCATTCTACTTAACCAAATAATACTATATTTTCTGTTTTCATCTACTACATATTAGAAAAATATTGTTCGAAGCATTCTTAATCTCCCCTTACCCAATTCATATAAAATACAACATTTGGAAATGGAAAACACAAATTTATTAGCAAACTATATTGTATTTTCAAACTTCTAAGAAAACAAAGTTCACAAAAGTCTAAAAAAAAAATTAATATTCCCTAAAAGGAAAATATACTTTTCAAATATGTCAGGTCCGAACTGCAAAGATGGCGGAAACAGATTGCCAGATGGATTTTTAAAAAGACTAACTACTTTAAAAAAAAAAATTAGAAGGATGTTGTGCTTTGTCCTTTAATGCTAGAAAATAAATATTTCTGTAATTTCCCCCCCTCCTTTACAATGTTATCTCTGATCCTGTAATCAGACCTGCTTGTGTGGGCCCTTGCAGCCCATATGTCCCTAAACCGCTGACTGCCAAAAGCTGGAACTGGATTACAGCGGATGGATCACTCAATAATCGTTCTGTTCATTCCCTCTGAAGCATCTGGCATTGGCCCCAGTCAAAATTCAGGCTACTGGGCTAGATGGACCATTGGTCTGACCCAGTATGGCCATTCTTAGGAGCCCACTAGAATCAATGGGGCTTTCTGTGTGCCAAGAGGCCATACATACAGATACAAATCTCAGGATCAGGGCCATTATTTTGACATATTGGATGAAAAGGAGTAAGGTTAGACACATGGTAATAAAAATGTTCGTTGTTGCTCGACCAGTGATGGGAGAAAGACTATTGATTGAAAATTTTCAGCTAAAAAAACGGTGTTGGATTTATGCACAAAGTCTATGAACTGCACACAGGCTTGGTTCAGCAAGGGACTAAAACACATGACAAACTTCAAGCATCTGAGAAGCTCTACCAATTTCAACAGGAGAATTCATAGGTTTAAAGTTGCCACATGCACAGATTTTGCTAAATAGGGGTCACAGGTGATCATGCACAAGAGGAGGCAGCTGTTTGAAAAATTAGGACTCGTCAGAGTTCCTGCTTTTCCTTCCCCATTTTGAGCACTCCTTGGGCCTTAAATTAGTCATGGCTACAGACTGACTTCATAAAGAAACAAGCCAAAAAGGTCATGAAAACAACATTGGTGTTCAAGATCATGTAATTTCCCCCAATTTTCAGCTTTTAAATTAATTATTTGTAGAAACCTGTTGAATATAACACTGTACTCAACAGGAACTTTTAATCAGTGGCTTCTGAAAGGAAAAAAGTTTAAGGTGTTTTTACCCCCTCAGGACCTAATCTATCAAAGTTACACACATACCCTTTTAGGCCCCAATCATGCACTGACCTCCACGTGTGCAGACCCTACACCAACACAGAGCCCTTCAGTGGAGCTTCACCCAGGCACAGAGTGTGACAGAATAAGACATGTCTGGATCTCATTATGAATTCTGGTTTGTACCATGTGGGGAACACTAGTCTGCACTCTGTCCAGGAACAAGAAAAGGAGGACTTGTGGCACCTTAGAATTTATTTGAGCATAAGCTATCGTGAGCTGTAGTCCTCCTTTTCTTTTTGCGAATACAGACTAACACGGCTGCTACTCTGAAACCTGTCCAGGAACAGACATTTGTACTACATTTCCAACAGCTACCCAGCCCTGGAAAGGTATTTGACATTTCACTGAAGGATCATCACACTGACAGCAATCCAGGGCTATCAACTTTGAATGATTCTCAACTGCTGGACCATCCCATGGAAGAATGGGGACCATCCCTTTCTACAAAGGGGACGGCCACGATGTGTGTGTGTGTGGGGGGGTGTTGGGAAGTATGCCTGGTGGATCTGGAGATTCTCAGCCTAGGTCTGCATTTACAACACTACTGCAGCTATAGCTTTTCTGTGCAGACACTTACTACAACGATTGAAGGGGTTCTCCCATCACTGTAGTAAATCTACCTCCCCAAGAGATGGTAGCTAGGTCAACAGAAGAATTCTTCCATTGGCCTAGCGCTATCTACATGGGGACGTAGGCCAGCTTAACCATGTTGCTCAGAGGTATGGATTTTTCACATAGCGATGTAGCTAGGTCAATCTAATTCTCTAGCGTGGACCAGCCCTCAGTTTGAGTACGTGGTGTGACAGATGTTGCAACCTCATCCAGTATAGTTGAGGACCCTACTGTAGTAATTTTATGAATGGTTTTTACATCACGCTAGGCCAGGGATTGTAGGCAACTCCAGTGGGGAAGAGTTACCACCGGCTCCTCCAGGAACTAAAAGCAGTAGGAGGGTGATGGAGGCAAATCACTCAGGCTGTAAACACCTCCAGAGAAGTGCCACCCTCTGGGGAGCTTTGCATACACTCCCTGGCCCACAGTGATACATAAACCATTCTTAAACTTCATACAATATGGTCCCCAACTAGCTTGCAGGTGGTTGCAAGATCAAAGGGAGAATATGCAGGTACAGTTTCCCTGAAACTGTGACACATGGCACACGAGCAGAGGACCTATTTAAGAGCCGTGTGAGGAGAATTTAAAGGAGAACTCTGCTCAGACTGAAATGCTGATGAACCATTGACTCAAAAGAAGGAGTGAGCACAGACTAGAGGAGAGTGCGTTTCAGGACTGTCATTTGCAAAGCTCTGTAGTGCTTTATCAGTAAAGTCACTGTGGAAGAAATTCTTCTGGTGAACTGTGCTCCTTGCTTAACTGCCACATTTTCCCCAAAAAGGTTAAATTAGGAACCCCAGAGTGCTCATGGGCTAGGTGGAACTCTGAGTGTGTGTAAGCAATGGGGGATGGGGAGACCGGTGAGCAGGGTCTCAAACACTGGTTTTCAGGGTCTAAGATGGCTAGATGGCAGCACCCCACTCCCTAAGGAAGGGTATGTGCTCAGCAGTATGCCCTAGAGTTCCAGAGCTACAAATGTACAGTGGGTTACCAGGCCACTTGGTAACACAGGGGTCTACCGACACATAGCTCAGGGTGCAGGATCACAGCCTTAGTTAGTAATAATTGAACAGTTTCTCCTTTGCTAGTGGGCTATCAAGTTACTAGGATCTTCTGTTCTACTGACATTCCCTGTTTATGATCAGATGCTGAACATGAGATGTCAAGCACTTATTCAAAATCTCAATTATTATATTCAAATTATTATGGTATTAACTTGTAAATAAGCAAAACATAGCCTTTTAATTACAATTTAATTTTCTACATGAGCATATTTTCTTTGTTTTGAAGGTGCCAGCATTTCTGGAATGTGCCTGGTACCAATGAATAGTTTACAGAGCTGGTTAGAATTCCATGGGAAATTCTGACATTTCAAAAGTTGTTTTTGTTCCAAATTGGAAACATTGATTTTTTCCACTGACTGGAAATTCTGGAAGCATTGAATTGTTTTGTTTCAATAGTATCAGGACCACATAAAATGTAAATGTTAAAATGAAATGAAGTGAGAAAGTCAAAATGATCAGTTTTGGCACATTTCCATAACAAACATATATGGAATCACCACATTCCCATGAAACATTTAGATTTGACAATTTTGCATTTTTTAACTGAAATTTGTTCCATCAAAAGTTTAAGACCAGCTCTAATAGTTTAGATTTCAGCAGCTGAACTCATAATTTATTTGGAAAAGAAGTTATTGTAAGAGACTTGCCATTTAAAGCTTCGAGATTTCATTTGGGACACTCACGACATATTAGCCAGGTTAAATTAAAAACAAAAGATGCACCTCCTACCCGTTTTTCCATGGGAAGAATCCCTGTGATAAGTAACAAGGTACAACAATTGTATAAATATCATTATTACAAAATTAGCATGCAAATGAACTCACCAAATGGCTCCCAACCACACTGAGACTCATTAGAAAATTTTTTAGCAGGCTGAATCGGGATGGCATATTCTTTGTAGGAGCTGAGTTCAACTTCATTTGGAAGAGCACAGTGCTTATGTAGTTCTCCCTAATGTAGAAAGAGAAAGAGAATCTGACAATATAAAACTCACTCAATACAGAATCCTGCTATACACAATAGAGAAGCAAATTTAACAAATCTAGCTATTTATGGGCCCAAACCAAAGCCCATTTAAGTCAATGGTATGTCTATCCTTTTTAATTTGCAGTGCTGTTATAACTGTGTTGGTGCCACGATATTAGAAAGACAAGGTGGGTGAGGTAACTTTTTTTTTTTTTACTAAACCAACTTCTGTTGGTGAGACAAGCTTTAGAGCCACACATGGCTCTTCAGGTTGGTCCAATAAAAGATATTATCTTACCCATCTCATCTCTCTAATATCCATTGTAATGACTTTGGATCAGTCCCTATATGTGAAATACCCTTCACCACATGTTATAGTGACAGTGCTTTTCATACTGAGAGATCCCCAAACACTCGGCCTGATGAACCACTGTTATGCTGCAGTTTTGTGTCACTGTGAACGCTAAAGGATCCCTAAAAAGTTTGGCTGGGAGTTACACTGGTATAAGATTGGAGTAACACAATCCTACACCTCCTAGAAGTCAATGGAAGTTTTGCCATTGGCTTTGCTGGGAGCAGGACTCAAGACTGGGCTCCAAAATTGACAAAAACTACAGTCCCAGTCTTGCAAACAATTATGTACCTGCTTAACTTTAAGTACTGTGAATAGTCCTATTAAAGTCAGCGTGCACAGCGTTAAGCATGTGTATCAATCTTTGCAGCACCAGTGGCAATATATTGTATTTCATCCCATATAATGCAGCACAGCCAAATTTAGGACAGGGATAGAAGAGAAAAAACACACCCTCTTGAAACTGCAAGGGAAATTTAGGTAGGCAAAATGTAATTACCAGGATTGACACAGCAGAGTTCAACACCCCTATTCTCACTACAAGTGCTATGGGAACTTTGATGATCAGAAATAGGCTAGGACTTGGATTTTAGATTTCATGGGAATGATGGCATCTCCAACAGCACATTACGGAGCATGCTGGGGAAATGGCCCAGTTCGCCCAGCAGCTCCCACAGAAGTCAACAAGCATACTTCAGTGGTACATGATACCATACATATCAAACAGAAGCAGAATACCTTCCCCACAAGAAGAAGTGATCTCTTCACAATGTTCACAATATATAAAGGGGTAATGGTATAGTTTTCTAAAAATGCTCCTATGCAAGTGATGTTCTCAGCCACACAGGTGTAAATTTGGAATAGCTCCATTAATTTCAGTGAAGTTACTCTGGATTTACACTGCTGTGAATAAGGGCAGAATTTGTCCTTATGTCATAGGAGAACATTGCAATGCCCTTTCCTTCAACACAAATTTTTTAATTTTATTTTTCAGTTTGTATCTTAAACATTTCTCCTCATCCCCAAGCACACAACTACTTGCACATATCAATGCTGCAAGCTGATGTGCATGAGCAGACTTCTAGGTGTGTGAAGAGTCCCATTGACATAACCAGGACTCCATACACATGTAGGAATCTGCGCGTACAGATCCCGTTACAGGAGTGGAGCCCATGAGTTAGCGTATCATTACACCCAAAAGGAAAATATATGGACACTGCAGAAACAGACTTCGGAAGGATCAGTATTAAAAAAAGGGGAGGAAAAAAACCACCACCAAGTCTAAAAATAAAAATAGAAAATATAGTTTGACACATCAAGCTGCAGGAAACTTCAAAGGAGATACAGGGAGGAAGGGATTTAGTTTATTAGTTTTTAATTAGATCAAGTAACTTCTTACTCTGCTTAAGGCCAAGCTGTCAACAGGAAGATCTAACACTGATTTCCAGAGTAGTATGGATGGGAATTTCACACTTGAGAACTATACTCTCTTAAAAAAAATACTATTTTATAACCCCAACCAAATATAATCTTAAGTAAGATAACATGGTTTTCATATGGACGATCCCAATTTATAGAGATCAGGGAAACAATACTAAAGTCAGTTTTACCCCTTGGGTAAATAGGTTCTTAGAGGGAATGAAATCAAAAGGTTAATGAAACACCTGACAATTTGAAATGTAAACAATGAAACCGTATCTAAGCAATTTGCATTCTGATAACAACTCCAATGCTATTTATTTACTGTATGGAGCCAGGCTTTAATATGAACAGGCTATTAAGCAATAAAGTTAAAAATATACATGAGAAATAACTTCAGGTTAATGTACGGCCAATCTGTGCTAAAAGTCTAAAGTTAAAATGAATCAGATTATATTCCTCTGACATCACTGCACTAGCTCATGCATGGTACTGCACAAGAACCAAAATCGTCTTGAAGATCTAATCCACATAGTTTACTTAGTCTCGACTGATTCCTCAGCTCTGAGCAACTCTTCTAAGATTTCAAGCCTTGATCCCACAAACAGTTACACATGTTCTTAGCTTAACTCACGTGAGGGCCTAAAACCAGAAATATGTGCGGTATTCTAGGTGTGGTCTCACCAAAAATGTATAGCATGGGACTGTGTTACGACAACTGTAATTAATCGGCACTTGTTTTCACAGCATTGTGGGTTAAACTTTAACACTGTCTTTGGAAAAAAAAAAAACACACACACAAAAGTATACTTCCCCGTTTGACAAAATTAGGAGGCTATTTAAACAAAATGATTCATTGTTGCTTACCTTCACTATACTAATAGGTTTCCTTGACAAGTGGAAACTAGCATATAGCAAAAAGGTAAGAACAAAAATGAAGGCCCTGCACCTGTAACAAAAGAAAAATCAGTATTTATTTTAATATTTCTAAGTGATTTCATTCACTAGATTTATATTTACCACCATCTTACGTAAAACAAAATATTTTGAAGTATTCTTCACATTTTTTTCCACTTCACATCATAAACCCTAAAGCTAAAGAGACTCTAAATTAACTAACTACTGTGTATTGGGGTATAAATTTTAGCAGTTTCAATAGTTTCTATATTTAAGCCAGCATCAGAGCAAAACATCATTTTTGCACCTGTGACACCTTTACCCCCCGAGATTCACAAATGAGAGTGTGTGGGACAGAGCACATGGTGCTGGCTCTTCTCTCTTTCCAGTTGCTAATGCATATTAAAAGAGAAACAAAAGAAAAATAAACAATGTTATTTATTTTCCTATTATTGCTTTTCCACGTGAGCAATTGTAGTTGCCAAAGGGATGTGATCTGATTGGAAATGTGATAGGTGTGCTCCTATGACAATGAGAGGTGAGCCATCCTAGAAAAAAAAGTTTGAGAATGCTTGCCTTTACACTGATGGTTTCATTCACATCTACTTTATAACCATTAGTGCATTTTTTTAAATGGAGAAGAATAGTTTGAAAGATTTGTTGTACTTTAGTAGATTCTCTTCCAACTTTGCTTACCAATACCTGTTAAGTATATGGTCTGATAGATTATACAATGCTACATGCTGTATGTCTTCAGCACAGCTTCCTACATAAAATCCAGTTGTCTGTCTGCATATATAAGCAAAAGCGTGAACAAATATAATGTATCAATTTAAATCTCCAATAGACCTGTAAGTAGCCACAGCACTCTGTAAAAGCCATATACTTGGTATTGTGCCAAAACACATGGCCAACATGGCTCCTGCTGCAAAAACCACCACAGGATCCTAAGTGACCACAAGGGGGCAGGACTTCAGTTTTGGGTGTTGTCTAATGGATGGTATCTCCAGAAATACAGTAGACCCTAATGCTATTCTAAGGCATCGGTCAAGTACTGACTGAGAGGCAAACATACAAGTTACTGAATTGCTAACACATCCTCCAGCACAAGCAATTTCCTGGATTTTCTTGGAGGCCTCTTATCCAAGAATTGACAATGTTTAGCCCTGCTTAGCTTGTAAAACCGGCACAGAAGACTCCGCAAGTAAGGCTACCCAAACACACCATCTGGGTTTTGGTATCATAACTTACATTGGGTGTTCAATGTTATGCCCATTGCTGAAGATTTCATTTAATAAACAATAAAACTGCAATGACTCTTGCCTTGCAGCTCTGTTAGATGAAGCGTATGATAAAAATCGATCAAATGGGAAGTACTGATTTCTTTCCTTTGTTACAGTAAATAAGTGATTTCAAGATAAGAGTGGCAAATTATCTCTCTCCCTCTTGAAAGCATGAAAAGAGCTGACAAGACCAAAACAGAATTAAAAAGTTGTCAAAAGACTTCCAGATTTTAGTTTCCAAGAACAGACAAATATAGTTACTTATTTTATAGTAGCACCAACCAAGATCAAGGTCCTATTGTGCTAGGCACTGTTACAAATAAAATGATGATATGACCCAGGAGAAGAAAGAAGATCTGGGTCCAGGATAAACAGATTGATTTTTTTCGACAGAGATAAACCAAGCAACTCAAAATAAAGGCTGTGATTCACCTCCCCAAGCACATAATATGTGAAGTAGAACAGGAGACGTGTTTATTCTCTAGCTTACAAAATTAATGGTGATGGAAATGTATTCCAGCCCCCCCAGATCACTCTGTATTAGCGTCAAATCTCCTGATTCAAAAATCTTTGGCAATGCTCTTCATTATGCAATTAAATCAACATTTCCTTACCAAAGACTTGTTTTATATTCCAAGAAATAAAAAGTTAGAGAAACTGAGTCAATGGAACAATCTTTCACAGAAAATATCTGATATTGTCCGAGAGCGATGTCTGTAAGATATCCTTGAAAACTTACCACTGATCGCTTGTAAATAAAACGATGAAGCGAACTCCAGGAGGAAGTTGAGCCATTTACTTCACTGCCAGGATCTGGGTTTTAGGTGACAAAATGCTATATTTGGAAAAGGATTGTCCTGGATTCAGGCTTTTTATCAAAGATGCTCTGAATGTCGTGTACTTGCACTTTTCAGAATGGTTCTGAAGAGATGTCACACTAAGCAGATCTCCTTTTAGGTCTCCTCTTTGATATTTTCTGTCACTTTGAATGGTTAGCTCTTCACTCAACTGTTTTTTTAAAAAAAAAAAAAAAACCACCACCAAAGCAATGTTGAAAAGTTAGCATTTTAATTATAGTTTTAATCAGTGGTTCCCTCTTTCAGTAATGTAAATATACTACTGCAACTTTATAGACATCAAAAATTTGGAGAAATAGCTTAAACCACTTAAAAATTACAAATTTGTAAAGGCTGCCTTTCTTACTTGTTGGTACCAAGCCTAAATACAATTTTTCTTTAAGACGTCAGTACAGATAAAAGACTTCATTGAGGACGTGATCTAAAGGCCACTGAAGTCAATGGATAGAACCCATTGATTTCATTGGATTTTGCTTCTGGTCCCAAGAGACTGCAAGTGGGCAATTCCCTACCAGGAAAAGATGTATTCTAAAAACACCAAAAGCACTCAAATTTCTGATGCCATAGGGAACTTACCAATTCCTGGCCCAGCACAGTTGCTTTAGACCCTCTTCTCTAATAGGAAAAGGCGCACATTTCAGGTATTGCATGGTGCACTATTCATGCTGCTATTTGGCATGTTTGGCCGAGGCTGATAAGTAATAAGACTGAGACTGACCTCCCTAGACAAGCAAAAGAACGTAAGCTAAAGAAAAATCTTATTTTAAAGTACTCACTATTGCTAATAACTAGGACTTGTCTTAGGATAGGATTGTTAGATGTCACATGGCAGCCAGAGGCATTGATTTGTGAGCTTTATTCCTTTAATCTTTATTCTCCTGTATTAGCACAAATAAGAACTGTGCTTTTGCTCTTCCAACAGCAGACAGTATTTAACACAATAATGGTTGTATCAAAGCTGACCTTTCTAAATCTAACCTAACTCTACCTATATTTTAGATGTTTTGTTTTTATGCCTTTGGGATGGAGAAATCTCATCACCTCTGGAATAATTACACCTCTCACCATGAATTCACCATTAGCTTGCCATATGTTTTTCTTGTTGCTCTGCACTTGCTCCCTTAGCTTCTCATGCTGACCCTGGTTTAACTTTTCCTTTCTTCGTGAGTGTAGTTCACACGTGCTATGGACAGCCTGCTCAAGGCCCCCTCCCGCCACATAATTTACACCCTGTACAGAGGGTTCTGCTGCTGAAACAGTCACACAGGAATGCCCACACACCTCCTATATATATTTCCATACTAGTCCCACATAAGTTGGTACGAAGGCCACAACGGGGCTCCAGCAGAAATTTGTGCCTCATACAACTGGTGCAGAAGGCTGAAATAATAGCTGCATGAAAAGTGCAGCACAGCACCCTGACACTGGTTTGTGGGGAATGATTTCACCTTCTTATCCACCACCCACAGAAAGCCCCAAAACTCTGTTTTTATGAGCAGAGCTCAGCCTAAGTTCTCAGTGAAAAAAATTGCAATTGTTTATCATCCCATCCATCCAGCCACCCAACAGTTCACCAGATGTCTGAAGCGGTTTAAGAAAGAAAATGAGAATCTGTGACTCTTGTGACAAGAGTGACAAAGATGTAGCCATAGCAACAACAGTTATATTCATTCTATGGCAGCATGAAGTATTAATATTAAGTTAATTTGTGGAAAGGACAGTAGTACGTTACAAAGGCAATGGCAACTATAATAGGTAACTTACTGATGAATCATTTTCTTTTTTTTATTAAAGTATAAATATACAAATCAGGAAAAAAACCCCACCTTTTAACTTATTTCCAAGTCTTTTGTTTTCAGTAACACTAAGGACCTAATTTTCTAACCTAAAAGAAGCAACTGAATAGCAGGAAAGGGGCACCTCAAGCATGGTAGACAAATGCAGGGCTGACCCTAGACCAAACGGCACCCCAGGTAAGGAATGTCTTAGGTGCCCCCTGCTCCATTTGTTAAACTTCTGAATACCTTATTTTTTTATTGCATTTGTAGCCTATTTCATACTTTGATGCATGATTTGCATAAATGATTTAACCCGGTCATATAAGACAATAAGTTTGCATGCTAGGATCTGTAAATCTGCGAGCCCGGTGCCTTCCCAAGCCCAGCACCCCAGGCAGTCGCCTGGATCACCTGCTCCTAAATCCAGCCTTGGATAAATTAATATTTTATCATCTCCTCATTCTATTACAGCATTGTGGAAGGCATGCTATAATTAACTTCAAAATGGTACTTGCATTCTAAGGGCTAGATTGTGCCTTTAGGCAAAGCACTGAGCTAGGGTTGTGCATACACTGCATCATCTCCAGAGGCACCGTGCATTACAGTCACCTGAGGCATAATTCCCCACCCTGCTTCCTCCTTGCTCCGTGAAAGTATAGTAATTTGCAGCTGGCAGCAAATTGCAATAACCCTCAAAGCTGGCCTAAGCTGTGCTGCCCAGTGCATTGGGGGATTGGAGAGAAGGCTCTGCCCACTCCCACCTACTCTGGGAGAAATAGAGTAAGCAGGTATGCAGCACCCACTTACCTCTGCATGCTTGGGCCCAAGGTCCCAATAGACCATGCAGAGATGTAAGTAGTTTTCACTCCCTGAATCAAACACAAAGTCCAAAACCTAGCCCTAAACTGCTATTTTCATTAGTTTATAAACTCTTTTAATAAACAAATGAGGCATATTGGCACCCAGGATGCTTTGTTTTAACTCATAAAGGATTTCAAAACAAAAACAAAAAACAAACAAAAAACCTAAAAAACAAAACCTTCTGGAATAGCAACATAGCTTGTATTGGTCTGTGATGACCAGTAAAGCTGAAATGTTGCATTGGTGACAACTTCCCAGTCTCCCAAAGCGTCAACATGATGAATCAACAACACTGATATTTAAATATGAATAGTCATTATTGGCTGCATAATGATTACTCCTAGAGCATTTTGACAACAGAGGAAAGAGAGAATCTAAGTTTCTCTTTTTTAACAGGTGGTGGAACTTCCTGGTCTTTATGAAAACTTTCCAGGATGTAGGTTTCACATTCAACACCACCTAGAGCAGAGTTTCTCTCTGAGTTTTGTCATCGCTTTAGTGTTGCTTGTCCGAGACACTGTGCCTTAAATTATATAAACACACGCACACCCCATTACTATCTTCCCTTTTCAAGACAAATACAGGTTTCTTGCAAAACAATCTGTTGTATAAATGGTGCCTATAAACAAAAAGAAAAGGAGGACTTGTGGCACCTTAGAGACTAACCAATTTATTTGAGCATAAGCTTTTGTGAGCTACAGCTCACTTCATCGGAGCTGTAGCTCACGAAAGCTCATGCTCAAATAAATTGGTTAGTCTCTAAGGTGCCACAAGTCCTCCTTTTCTTTTTGCGAATACAGACTAACACGGCTGTTCCTCTGAAACCTGTCATGGTGCCTATAAGTTTACCTCATACTGTGGTTATCAGCAATGTCTCTGAGGAAACTTCCTGTCTGGGACCTGCAGCTAGTAGATTCTTACCACTCTTTCAACCCACACGAGGAAAAAAACAACAACCACCAACAGAATTTATTTCTGAACACACCACTAGCTTCCATCACATTTCAAGCACTTCCAGACGTCCAGACATTCAACTGACTGTCAGCTTGGGAAAAGGAAGCAGGAACGATGATTCCCCCTCAACCCCATCCCTAGGGGAAATGAGGATGTCAGCCGAGGGAAGACGTTCTGTTTCACCCCTACAGATTAGTCCCCTTACCCCAAAACGTACCCGTGCGAACAGTCTAGTCTCACCGAAGCCAGGGCAACTACTCATGCAAGAGCGTGCCGGACTGGGATCACCTTGTGTACAGCCTCTTCCACGCAAACTGTGTATCTTCAAAAGGCTTTACGGAGCGAAGCAGCGGTAGAGTTAATAAGTAAGACGGGGAGGGGGAGATGCAGGTGCCGGCAAAAGAGGGCAACCAGAAATAAAGACCCCGCTCTGTTTGGAAAATTAGCGCAAAGCTGTAACTCTTGGCCCGTGCCACTCACGCCCTCCCTGTCACGCACAGGTGGAAATCATTATTCCCAGGCGGCGGCAGCAGGTGCATCTCCCTAACCAGCAGCACTTCCACCCCCCCACCCCCCTCCAGCTAACCCCCTCCCAGAGCCCGAGACTCCCCCCCACCCCCGGTTCCCAGCTTAGGCACAGACCGACCCTAGTACAAGAGTTGACCAGAAAATCGCGCCTGGAGATCAGCTTGCAGTGCACTGCCTCAGCGCAGCCGTGGCTGCTGCTTCTTTGCTGCTCGGATACTTCCTGCTTCAGCCGAGCTGCAGGCGTGGCTCCCTCTGGTTTCATTCATGCTCAGCCGGCCCCAGCTTTCCGTGCGCTGGAGGAGAACCTGTTCGCCGGGCGCGCCTCCCCGCAGCTCGGCCCTCTGGTGGGGAAGAAGCAAGCGGCGCCGTGTGCCCAGGGCCGAGAGGGGAATAACAGGACGCGGGAGACACAGCTCCCGCCGCTTATACGGTTACCCTGCCCCGCGTATCACTCAGCAGCGCTTCAGCCTTAACCCACGTGTGCAGCGTGCTGGGGACCCTGAGGCATTTCATTCCAAAACGTCCATTACAGCTGTGTTTCCGTTGTTACAAATAATTGCTGTCGGGTCACCAGTTTGGGCACAAATTTTAGGTTGTGGAAACACCACCCTACCTGAAATGCTCTCTCGATGAAAACCCACGAGTTCCAGGGGACAGAAAACACGTGTCCCCCCCGGCTTGTTCGATACACAATTGCAGCACCCTCATGCTACGTGCAGTGGAATCTGAAAGCGAAACTGACCAGAAACACGAGTGAAAGCGATTGGTGTGTTTTTATTGGCCAAGCCAGGAGAGGCAACCAAATATAAAATGATGGAAAGTCGGGTTCTGCGCCAGAAATGAGTCCCACCTGAGTGGAGACTGCCTGGACCTTAGTTATATTTCTAAACTTTTGTTTTAATCAACAAAAGGTACTATTTGTAAGGGTTTTTGTTTTTGTTTTGTAAATAACATGAGTTTTAACCTGACACTTTTAATTTGTGCATTCAGGCTTTTTTTGTTATGCTTTTGTATTTGTTTGAGATTTTGAAAATACAAGATACATTTCCAGAACAGTGCCTACTTATCAAATGTCATCAGTCTGAGACGTGGTACAGTCATTGGCCCCAATCCTTCAAAAACCCATGCAGGTGCTTAACTTTATGCAATCTGAGGAATTCAATAGGGCTACTCTCCTAGTACTGCCAGTCTCAAATGTTCAAAAATTATGAGGCAGATTCATGAAAATGGCTTAAAAATAATGATTTGGGTTTTTTTTTTTATTTGCCATCTGGTTTGTGCATTTGCATCACATTTTTAAACTTTACTCAATAACCAGGAAGGCTAGAAATTTACTTTTTAAAAAAAAATGAAAGCTGAACTGCTCATGTATATACTTGATTCCTGTCGCTAGGGCTTAAATAAAAATACTAAATATTGCTAGACTTATGATAAAATTGTGGGAGTGGGTAACACTGCTCACCATACTCAAAGAACAGAGGCATGAATGTGGGGAGGAGGGACAGCTCAGTGGTTTGAGCATTGGCCTGCTAAACCTAGGGTTGTGAGTTCAACCCTTGAGGGTGCCATTTATGGATGGGGCAAAAATTAGGGATTGGCTCTGCTTTGAGCAGGGGATTGGACTAGATGACCTCCTTTCAACCCTGAGATTCTATGATTCTACAAACATGTAGGATCCTTTTCAGGATCAGACTCTGTCAAGAAACTAGGCCCTACATTTACAGGAAGATGGACTTAATCTAATTCCTCCTTCTCTAATTTGTACAAACCCTTATTTCAGTTGTGTTTTTAAGAATCTGTTTAGTTTATTCAGTAGTCAGTAATGTAAACAGTTATCAAGTAGCAGCTTTAATTATCCTCTACAGCACAGACAGCTTCTATTTTGTATAATGTAATATCCTGGGCTCCAGCAGTCTGCTTACAAAACATCTCACAGCTCTCACTGGAAAGTTATGCTTCATTTCATTTTCTCCCCTGTACTGCCTGTCCCAGCTTTCACAGTTAAACAAACTCATTCGCTCCTAACATGATTTTACTTATGCCTGATCCTGCAAACATACATGCTCTACTTTACTACCATGGGTAGGCCCATTCATTTCAATGGCAGTATTTAAACTAGTAAAGTTAAACGTGGTGTTTGCAGAATCAGGTCCTTGGCATTACATTGAAGCTTATTAAAATTACACTAGATAGTTGTGATCTTGGGTAGCCATTGTGCAGCTTGCTTTTTTCTGACATTTGACAATAGTGGCTATTGTCATTATATACACAGCTTCAAAAAGAGATTTTTTAATTCAGTTTCCAAATACAGCCCTTTCTGTGGTATCTAAAGGAATAGCTCCACTACAAAAGCTATTGGAGAGAGTTGTTTTCTATGACTAGGCCCACAATATTCCAGTACAGGCCCAAACAAATACTGTACTTCACTTTCCCACTTTAGAAATAGCACTTGTCTTCCTCCTCCAAGCAGAATAATTAACATTCACAACTATTCAAGGTGGGGAAAAAACTGGCCCCTGCCTTGGAAGCTGAAGCATTGTCCTTGATTATGACCAATCTTATCCTCAAAGTAGAGCATTTCTGGTTCACAAGTAATCCAGCAACTTGGGACCAATTTCAGAAAAACAAACACGCCTACTCTGTATGTTAAATGTTTAGTTTTGGCACAACTAGTAGAGAGAAACGTCATACAGTATGGGATAAATTGTGACTTTATCACAAACCCTGGCAGTACAGAGTTGCCCAGTCACCATATGGCCCCTTGTTCCTTTATTACTCCAGAGGAGAATTGATCTGCCTCAGCCTGATGCCTGACACGGACTACATCCCCCTCTACACCAGCTCAACAATGCTGGCTGGCTCATGGAGGTGGAGCCAAAGCTTTATCCACTCCCCATCTGTGCAACAAGTAGGGAAGCTGGGCCTCAAGGAAGTTGGTCTGTCCCAACATTCTCTCATCACTATTACAAAAGTGATTTATCCTCCCTTGGTATCCTGCTGTTAATTGAATTATCTTGTTAGCACTGACCCCCCACTTAGTAAGGCAACTCCCATCCTTTCATGTGCTGTGTATTTATACCTGCTGCTGTATTTTCCACTTTATGCTTCTGATGAAGTGGATTCTAGCCCACAAACGCTTATGCCCAAATACATTTCTTAGTCTCTCAGGTGCCACAAGGACTCCTCGTTGTTTTTGTTCCTACACTGCTATTCACTGTATGAGTGATTCTTACAGGGAAAGGCATAAGCTTGATTTGGTAACATCCAGTCCCTGATTTCAAACATCTCCTTAAAATAAATAAACCAACAAATAAATAAAAACAATTCTCCTCTTAAAGCTGAAAATGCTGCTTTTATTAAGATCAAATAAAAATTTCTTCCAGCTCGTTCTTCTCTAACACCAGAAACCGCCGCTGCATTTAGCACAGCTGCCAGCAAGTAAGCAAGAACACATACAAAGAGTGACAGGAGTCTGTGCCCGCCAGTTACACAGGAGAACAGTGGCAGGGAGAATCAGAAGGACAGCCTCCAGCCTGAGATGCAGATAGTGATATGGCCAGGAATAAAGGATTAAAAAAAAAAACATCGAGAGGAGAATACATAATCCAGAGCACCATGCAAAATAATTGTTGGGTTTTAATGACTTTTTCTTTATAGAAGGTACGTATGAGGATGGCAGTACATTGCTGGATTGATTATACAAACCATTTCCTTCCTTGTTACGTCAGTACCAGCTTTCACATTGCAAAAAAAAAAAAAAAAAAAGGTGTGTGCTTATCTGCAAAAACAAACAGTTATTATGCTCTGTGTATTGACATATCCTTGACTACATCCCTGCTGACATCACAGCCTGAAAAAGTACTCCAATTTCCTGGGTCAGAACGTCAGTTTCATTTATACAGAACTAAGGTGTACTCTTAACTCCTTAAAGCTCTGACTCAGCAAAGTATTTAAGTTCATGACTTGACGACAATGGGAGCTAGGCATATTCTTTAAGTGCTTTGCTGAATAGGATGCTTTGTTGAATTGGAGCCTTAATACAGATATTGCAGCCGGTAGCCACATATAGCATTTAGATGTACACAGCTGGTATGTGTTTCCCACCCAGTATGTTATATTGCGTGATCTCATTTTCATCTTATGATTAGCCTTTTATGTACATGCAGTTTCAGAAGTTTAAAGAAGCTAATGTCTTCTCTAGCTAACAATGGGTTACTATTTCCAAAGAAGTAGCAGAATTCCAGGCACTGGTACAACTATTGGTCTTCATTTGTTTTCATTAATTTTAACAGCCTTTGTCTCCCCAGCAGAGGACATGGGATATCATATGAACAATTTACACCAAAATTGGGGCCAGTCCAGATATAACCAGTCATCAAACCTTGGTAAAGAAAAACAATCCAAAAAGAAGAGCTGGTAACAAAAGGGAGGGGGAAAATAGCTACAGGTGCAGTGATCTGGATTTATATCCACTTAAGAGAACCAACAAAAAACTCTGGTCCACATCCGTAGGAAGGGAGTTCAACAGAGTTCCTGAACCAAGACATTTCTGTTTCAGCCTGATTGAGATGGCACCTCTGAACTAAGGATGTGGTCCAAAGCCCACTGAAGTCAATGGGAGTCTTTCCATTGACTTCCACAGGCACTGAATCAAACTCACACAGCAAAGACAAGATGGTCAATTTCAGTTACTTTGGAGGAGCACAGGGAGCGAGGCAGACCTATTGCCCTGCTTTGGACAAACTTCTGATGGGGTCACTACTTTTAACTGGTTTTACAGGGAAAGGCTTTGGGCACACTTATAGCTGGTGTGACGGCACTACCAGAACATTTTCAACAAATATTTTTGTTATGACCAGAGTAAATATTTCTCCATTCCTCAATAAATAAAGATTTCATCTGTGGCTGTTCTATCCAAAGAACTAAAATCCCCTTGTTGAAGTAATGTCTTTCTAATCAAACATTAAAGGACACTAACTTTTTGATAAAAGTTACAAGTTAGAAATGGTTTTGTAAAATAAAAAAAATGTATGGCAAACTCTTGTGCATTTTTAACTACAGTTGTGCCAGGACTGGAATGCCAGATTTAAAACCACCTAGATCATGGGGAAGTCTGAATCTAGATTCATTTGGATCAGAGCACAGGGGAAACAGAAGCCTACTCTGCATTACCAATCTTGGAGAAAGGCATCTGTTGCGAGTGCATGTTGTGCTCTCAAAACTGAGCAAATATCACATATATTAAGGGAATACTTCTAAGAGGGCAGGAAGCAATTACTCTCATTAGATAAGGACTGATAAGGTAAGAATCCAATTAAACAGCAGCAGAGAAAATTATGTTAAATATTAAGAAAACCTATAACTACTGGAACGATTGGGCAACAGAACACACTATTGTGGATGGCTGTGGAAGTGCCTTCATGAGTGCTAGACCTGGCCCCTATAATAATGACTCATAGCATGATCTATGAG